GTTAAGTGCTGTCAAGTAACACTGTATAGGGTTTCTGAGACTTTAAATTTTCATGGGAGAAGAATGCTTCGTCTTTTCTTCTGCCAAGCGGCTGGTGGACTCAAACCTCTGACCTTATGTTTCCTACTCTAGCACTTATTGTATGGAGTCACTGCAACCCCCATTATCTGAGGGGCCTTTATATATATATATATGTTGTTGTTGTTGTTAAGTGCCATCGAGTCGGGTCCGATCCATAGTGACCCTGTACAGGGTTTCCGAGGGTGTAAATCTTTACGGGAGTAGAAAGCCTCATCTTTCTCCCGCGGAGCGACTGGTAGTTTCGAACCGCTGACCTTAAGGTTCACAGCCCGATTCATAACCACTACGCTACCAGAGTATACATTATGTAATTTAATTATTACAGCAACTCTGAAATGTATTACTTGGAAGAAGTAAACTGATGTGCAGGGAAGATGAGAAATTTAACTCAAATTCGATTCTGTCTGACTTAAGCTCAGGCTTTCCCCATTATATAACCAGGGTGAGTCAAAAATGATCTGCACTCTGGTAATATTAAAGTGCTTGTCCACAGTTGACGTTGAGCGTGCATGTGAAATGATTCTGTCAAGTAGACGAGTGACAGTGGATTATGTGTCAAATCATCTGCAAATCAGCCATGGCTCTGCCTATGAAATAATCTCCGACAGACTTGGGTTTCAAAAAGTTTGTGTGAGATGGGTACTGAAACAACTCATGGAGGAGTATAAACAGAAGTGTTTGGATATCTGAAAACAAAATTTGGACCAATACTCAGATGAAGGTGAAATCATTACAGGTGATGAGACATGGATTCATCACTATGTGCCTGAAAGTAAATGACAGAGTATGAAATGGAAACATCCTCATTCGCCAACCAAGAAAAAGTTCTAAAGTCAACCATCAGCTGGAAAATTGATTCTTACAGGTTTTTGAGATTCCCAAGGACCCGCATTAGAACACTATGGGGGGAAAAGGTTCAACAATCAACTGTGTTCATTACAGTAAGCTGCTCACTGAAGTTGAAGTTTAAACTTTGAAGAATTAAATGCAAAGGACTGCTATCCAAGGGCATTGTGATTTTGCATGACAATGCCCGTCTGCACACTTCTGCCTACACTGTTGACATTCAGCAAAAACTTGCTGCATCAAACTTTCATCTTTTTGGTCCCCTGAAAGCAGCTCTTTGAAGACAAAGATTCACCTCTGTTGAAGAAGCGAAGACAGTGGTACATTCGTGGCTTGCAGCTTAGCCTAAAACATTTAAAAAAAAATTTTTTTTTTAAATAAGGGAATATGAAAGCTTGTTGACTGATAGACAAAATGTTTTAAAAAGCAAGGAGAGTATGTCAGAAAATTTGTCTTTTCTAAAAGTTTATTAAAATAAATGCTACAGAAACAAAGGACCCTAGGATCATCAAGGGAGAAGAGCACAAGCGAAATGAGAGACCTTATCCAGAGAAGCAGATATGAAGGCCCAGGTGGGGACATGGAGAGAGGGAGCAGCTGAGGACTCTAGATTCATGGGAAGTGAGGGACTAAGAGATGGCGGCCAGGAGGCAGACTTGCAGAATGTGCCCTTTGGTTGTGAAAATTATTGTATATGCCTGAGTATTTAAAAAAAAAAAAAGCTAAAGTGAATAGAGAGAAACATTGTTAACTGATGGTACATGGAGGGAATTATAATCATTGTAATGAAACAAGGTGTATGATTTGTTGAATGTAAAACTGATGATCTGCCCTATAACTTTCACAATAAAAACCTTAAAAATAAATAAATAAATAAATAAATGCTATAGCCAAAGTGCAGATAATTTGTGACTCACCCTTGTACATTGCTTCTTTTAGATGCTAGAACTACCAGGGAGTACTGGAGTGGCGCTGTAGGATAAACACTGAACCACAACATTGGTTTGAACCACCAGCCGCTCCTTGGAAACTGAAGACAGGGTTGCTATGAGTGGGAACTGACTTGATAGCACTTAACAACAACAATACTATCCATCTATAGAGTTGCACTATGAGTTGAAATTGACTCAGTGGCAGTGGGTAAGAGTACCCATCTATCAGCTTGTCATACTGTGGTGCCTTGTTGCTGTGATGCTGGAAGCTATGCCATCAGCATTTCAAATATCAGCAGGGTCACTCATGGTGACCAGGTTTCAGTAGAGCTTCTAGGCTAGGAAAGAAAGGCCTGATGATCTACCTCTGAAAATTAGCCAATAAAAATCACAACATTATCTGACGTCCTAAAGAAGTGCTTGAGGAGCAGATTGTTAGGTGAAGTACAGTGCTATTGAGTCTGGGGGAGACCCTTGATGAGAGGAATTGCCACAAAAGCTACAACAATGCACTTGAACATGCTAGTGATTATGAGGATGCTGCAGGAAAGGGCAATATTTTGATGTGTTGTATATAAGGAGCTCTGGTAGTGTAGTGGTTATGAATCGGGCTGTGAACCTTAGGATCAGCAGTTCGAAACTACTAGCTGCTCCGCGGGAGAAAGATGAGGCTTTCTCCTCCAGTAAAGATTTATAGCCTCGGAAACCCTGTGCAGGGTCACTATGGTCGGAATAGACTCCACAGTACTTAACAACAACAACATATAAGGTTACAATGAGTAGGAGATGACTTGACAACCGTTAACTACAACAGTACCAGCATCACCACTCCTCCTACTAATGACAGTTATTCAGATCTTAATTGGTATTTAAAATAATCAACCCACTGCTGTGAAGTTGATTCCAACTCATAGGGAATTTACAGAACAGAATAGAACTGTCCAATATGGTTTCCTGATGTGATGCTATAGAATGAACACTGGACTACTAACTGCAAAGTCAGTGGTTCATACTCACCCAGCAACTTCTCGAAAACCCTATACAAAGTTGCTGTAAGTCAGAATCACTTGATGGCAAACAACAACAATAGGATTTCCAAGACTGTACATTTTGATAGCCCAATTGCCGCATCTTGCTCCTATAGAGCAGCTGGTAGGTTCGCAGTCAAGTACGTCACCGTCGGTTCCAACTCATAACCACCCTGTATAGGGTTTCTGAGGAGCATCTGGTGGTGGGTTTAAACAGCTGACCTTGTGGTTTGAAGTCTAGTGCTGATGCTACAGCACCACACCAGGAGTCTAATACTGTATTGTGTTAAGTATTTTAAATGAAGTATCTTATTTAATCTTACTAGTGTTATCTTCTGGTAGCATAGTGAGTTAGGAGTTGGACTGCTAACCATAAGGTCAGCAGTTCGAATCTACCAGTCACTCCACAGGAGAAAGTTGAAGCTTTCTGCTCCTGTAAAGATTTACAGTAGCTGAAACCCCATACAGGGTTACTATGAATCAGAAACAACTCGATGGCACATACTCACCACCATCAGTATTACCTTCAGTTTATAGTTGAAAAAACTAAGGCCCTAGGTAACCCTAGGTAATGTAGTTAGCAAGTTATGAAGCCAGCATTTGTATTTAGTTCTTTTGGTGCAGAAGTCAAATCGATAAACATTTGTTTTTATTGCCTCTAGCTCCATGGCTAATGCTTCCCTGAAACTCATTTTTGAGCCTTGAAAAATGCACTGCATAGTCTTAAAATTTTCTAAAAAGATTCTAGTCCCAGATCTTGGAATTGGTGAACTAAAGTTACATATATTTTTGTAAGATTTTTTTCTTTCAGTATTTAGGAAAATAAATGTTGTCTTTAATGGGGCAGGAATGGGAAAGAAATATTAGGCTCATGTGATGCTATTAGGAGCCTGGGTTGTGCAATGGGTAAAGTGCTCAGCTGCTAACCAAAGGTCAGCAGTTGGAATCTATTTCATGGAAACCTATGGGACAGTTCTACTCTGTCCTATAGGATTGCTATAAGTCAGAATTGTCTTGAAGGCGTGAGTTTTTTGTTTTGTTTTTGATTACATACTCAGGCATCTTTGATAGCCCGGAGGTAAATGGCTCTCTGGAGAAAAGACTCCAGATATTATTATATAAATATTCTGCTTTTCAGTGAGAATCTAATACATAGGGTTGGCACAGAAGTTATTATCATAGGTAAAAATTTCAATTTTTTCACAGTGTGCATAGTATTTTCTGTGCTCACATGACTGCACAAATACAAAAGAAAAGCATAAAGCATAGACTGCTCAAGAGAAAATGCTAGTCTGAATCATCTAATATATACATCAGGTACAAATCTTTGAAATTACGGCAATTTTTCAGATAGAATGAAATGGAACTTATCTTTTTAATTGTAACATAATATGATAAAAAAAAAATCCACTAAGTGCACAGAGATGAGACTTTGTGTACAATTTGCCTTTTTAAAGTTTTTTTTTTTCTTCCTGAGTGCCATGATGGTTACACAACATGCGGGCTGCAATTGATGTCACTGAATTGTGGTTATAAGGAAACGTTGAAATTGCAAATGTTTACAAATATATTTAACCACAAAATAAATACAAACAGTGCCCACACATCATTTGTGAGACAGCTAAGGTAGTGAAATCATATCCATCTTATAACACAAGAAAAGAGAGAGGGAGAGAAACGTTCTTGAATTAGCGTCATTACAATGATAGAGTGGAGTCGGTTCTGATACTCCCACAGAGTGGCTGGTGGATTGGAACCGCTGACTTTGTGGTTAGCAGCCATACGCGTTACCCACTAGCTACCACAGTTCCTTGCAATGATATTAAATTATAGTGTTCATTTAGTGTTTAGCTCATTTTGTACAGTTGTATACTTTAATAGATTCCACATGTATTCGAGTTTAATCTCTGTGATTCAAGTCTTAAAGAAAATGATACTATACAGTCAAACTCACAGTCAAATCGATAAAAAGTTACTTGTCTTTTTTTTCCTCTAAACCCTAGGTAAACCTGCCTTTCTGGGAAGGCTAAGACAAGAAACCCAGCACAGGACCAAAAACTCTCTGCCGGAACGTTTGTGCTGTAGCACCTCGTCTCGGCCGGTGCTCATTCGGGAAGGGACCGATTCTGACAAGTGCCTGTTGGTAAGAATCTGCTTGGCATCTATACTGAGGGTCTTGGAGGAGGCTGTGTGAAGGAGGCTTCGGGGAGAGTTTGTAGGGGAGAAGGCGCCATGGACGATCAAGGCTGCCCGCGGTGTAAGACCACCAAGTACCGAAATCCTTCCTTGAAGCTGATGGTGAATGTGTGTGGACACACTTTGTGAGTACAGAGGCAGTGGATTCCGATGGGGGAGAGACGCGCAGGGTGGGAGGAGAGAGCCAGGAGATCCTTGGCCTCGGGTCTGGACGGTAAAAAGCGTCGTTAGTTTTGACTAAGGAAGGAAAAGACAAGAGGGAATTGGCTTTCCGTAAGCGAACTGTAGCTGCTAACGCTGAGCGATCCGGGCCTGCTTTTTGGGGTGCTGGTTCTCAGATAGCTGCAGACATATCTCTGGTTAAATTGATGTGGAACAGGGGACTGGAGTGCTTCTGTAACTTCACATGAAATGTTATTTTGAAGAGTGAAAGTATTATGAAAAAGGAAAATCACTATGAGTATATGCAGCTGCTGCTGTTTATTGTATGATTAATTTGAAAACCTCATCTGTATGCTCAGTTTCCCAGATGGAGTTCGGTTAATAGTCTTATCACTAAAAGAGAGGACAATTCAAACTAAAGGCAGTTAATTTGGGAGATAACTACGTGTACGCTGTGTGCCAACCACTGTTTTAAGCGTTTTATTATTATTTCTCTCACTTATTCCCAGAAGAGCCCTTTAAAGTTGCTACTGATACCATTCTCATTTCACAAGGCAGGAAATGAGACTAGGCTAGGTTCTTATTGAGTGGGTGATATTAGAACTGGAACCCAGAAGTCTTACTCTGGAATGCTAATTTTTGAGGTTGGAGAGGGGGGAAAGAGAGGTTGAGTTTCAGTATTTTGATGAATAGATGGTCAAGCTGTCCTTGCCACATTTTGTGATCAGTAAACACTAGTCTATAAAGTACTTTTAAATGAAGCATGATATGTAAGGGTTCTTGTTAAGTGCTACTGAGTCAGTTCCAACTCATAGCAACCCTGTATCGGTTTTCGAGGAGCAACTGGTGGGTTTGAACCACTGACTTTAGGGTTAGCAGTCCAGTGTTTATCTTACAGCACCACATCAGGACACCTGTATAAAGGTTGTTGTTGTTGTTGCTAATTGCAGTGGAGTCAGTTCCTACTTATAGTGAGCCTTTAAATCGTGGAGGGACCAGAAGCCTTGTCTTTCTTGGAGCGGCTGGCAGGCTCGAACTGTGGATCTTGTGGTTCACAGTCCAGTGCTTATTGTATGGAGCCACTGAGCTTCCTAAAGTTAGGGTTAGCATATAGTATACTCCTATATAGGTTAGTATATAGTATATACTGAGAGGGTATAGCTTGCAGTTTCTTAGAGAGAAAAAAAATGATGAATGATTTACAGTATTGAAGATAAGGTCTTCAGGTAAACAGAGTTGCAAAATTAGTTGTAGTTATAATGTTGTTAAGTCAAGTCGGTTCTGACTCATAGCAACCTATATAACATTTCTGAGGAGTGGTTGGTGGGTTTGAACTGCCAACCTTGCAGTTAGCATGCCTAGTTATCTTACAGCACCACACCTGGACTCCTGTAGTTAAAATTGTTGTTGTGTCAAGTGCTGTAGAGTCACTTCTGACTCATAACGACCCTGTGTAGGGTTTCCTAGGAGTGGCTGGTGGGTTCATACCACTGACCATGCGGTTCAAACCGACCTTGTGGTATAATGCATCATCCTGCAGTGCCACACCAGGATAATAGAATTTAGTAACTTAGTTGTTTCCTTTTTCTAACTAATCTTTATTTTCCACTGCCTTACCCAGCAAAAGAAGTACAGTATAGTTGTGACTGAATGAATGGTTTAAGATTAGAAATAAGGTTGTTGTTAAGTGCCGTCTAGTCAGTTTTTCATAGTGACCTTGTAGAGGGTTTACAAGGAGCAGCTGGTGGGTTTGAACTGCTGACCTTGAGGTTAGCAGTTCAGTGCTTATTCTACAGCCTCACACTAGGACTTCTAGAAATAGGTAAACAGAATTAAATAAAATACATGGAAAAAGGAAGTGAGGCAAGCACTGTAGTTAGACTGGTAGGTTTGTAGATATATTTTATCCAGTTTACTTCCATTTTCCTTTATTATGTTTGTTATAGTTGATGCTAAAGGAAAGGGAGATGATCAAATATACTCTTTTTGGAAGGATATTAAATGTAATTCACTGGGTGAAATTTCTGCCTAGCATAAATTCAGGTAGTGCATGGAATTTCAGTAAAATAAATGACATTTTTATTAGACGATTATAGAATATTTATTTTCAATTGGAAATTGCTTTCATTGTATTCTAAGTCTGTTTTGTTATCGCATAGGAATGAGAATTGTCTAATTTATTGTGGTATTGCATTTATTTTGGTTTACTTGTTAACATGTTACATGCAGACCATACTTTGTAGTCCTTTTTTTTGACTTGCAGTATGAACAAAGTGAATAGCAAAATACCCACTAAGTTCTAGCGAATATGTACTACGGAGTCATTCAGGAATGCAATATATGGTACTGGCTAAGAGAATAAACTCTGGAAGCATCTTTCTTGATATCAAATTCTTACTCTTGTGTGACTGGGTGAGTTACTAACTCCTTGTTTCTCATTTATCTTATTTGTCTTAATAGAGGTGGTAGTCCTGGTGTGGTGCTGTAAGATAAGCATTGGACCGCAAGGTTGGTTCAAATCTACCAGCCACTCCTCAGAAACCATATACAGGGTCTCTATGAGCTGGACAGTGAATAAGGAAGACCGTAGAATAATTGATGCCTTTGGGTTATGGTGTTGGAGGAGAATATTGAAAGTGCCATGGGCTGCCAAAAGAACCAATAGATCCGTTTTGGAAGAAGTGCAGCCAGAGTGCTCCTTAGAGGCCAAGAT